TAATTTTAACCAAAGATAATAATAAATATGTAATATCTATGTTTATTGTTTTTAATTTAATAATAATATATACCGTAACATAAAAAATAAATCATTAACGCGTATAATTACTAAATTAATATCTTAAATCTCAATCAAAAGATAACCTTAAATTAATGTTTTTCACAGTAAAATACCTACCTATTACATTAAACTACCTACCGGATATGTTGAAAATATCGATTCTATTTAAATAAGTATTCACACTTTTGGAATTTAAAAGAAAAACAGTAATAGCGCCTATAAAGTATCGATACTTTATAAAAATGTATCGATATTTTACAATATAACAGGTAAAAATATGACAAAATCAATTTCATTATGACAAAAAAGTAAAGTTTACCTAATATGTTGAAAGTATCGATCATTTTATAAAAATGATCGATACTTTACAATATAACAGGTAAAAATATGACAAAACCAGTTTCATTATGACAAAAACGGTAAAATTTACCTGATATATTGAAAGTATCGATCCTTTTATAAAAATGATCGATACTTTACAATATAACATGTATAAATATGACAAAACCAATTTCATTATGACAAAAACGGTCAAATTTACCTGATATGTTGAAAGTATAGATCATTTTATAAAAAGGATAGATACTTTATAATATAACAGGTAAAAATATGACAAAACCAGTTTCATTATGATAAAACCGGTAAAATTTACCTGATATGTTGAAAATATAGATCCTTTTATAAAAATGATAGATACTTTACAATATAACAGGTAAAAATATGACAAAACCAGTTTCATTATGACAAAAACAGTAAAATTTACCTGATATGTTGAATGTATAAATACTTTTTATAAAAAGGATCGATACTTTTTTTAAAGTTATGTAATTTATGTTTCAAATTTTTTAACATTATTTCATATTTTCTACCTACAATATTAATTTAATAATTTCATTTACACAAAAAATATTTGATTGTTTTGATATTTTATAAAATATTATTAAGAATTTAAATTTAACAATTTTAACCAAAGATAATAATAAATATGTAATATCTATGTTTATTGTTTTTAATTTAATAATGATATATACCGTAACATAAAAAATAAATCATTAGACGCGTATAATTACTAAATTAATATCTTAAAACTCACTTAAAAGATAACCTTAAATTAATGTTTTCCACAGTAAAATAAGTATAGACCTTATATATATGTATCAATACTTACCGATAATCAAAGTTTATCAGTTACCAATTTTTTTAATAATTTTTCATGTTTTCTACCTAAACGCTATTAGTCTATCAACATAATAAATAGCGTTAAATCAAATTTATTAAATATTTTTTAATATATCCGATAATACCGTATATTAACAATATATTAATCGCCTTTCCCCAACAATCTCATAATTTCACATGTTCACGAAAACAAATATTGTTTTAAACCTTACTTGAATGTACCCACATTCCACCAATCGTACGGCCTAGATGTGAAAAGCTTTTATTTCGGCTCCGAACTCTCTCGATCTCGACCACCAGATTCAAGACACGTGTACGCTCAGCTATGCTTTGTTCCTTCCTCCGGTTTTGGGAATTTTTCAAGTGTGCCCCACACTCGCGAAGCTTCCACGTGGCATGTGCCAGGGCTGATCTAGTTGTTTTAACGAGAGGATCCTAACGGCGCGACCTAATCGCACCGCCGGATCTCTAATGGGTCCCGCCGCGTCCGAGTTAACTCGATTCGCCTTTCAAATGCTCCCGCCTTAATATGGAAGAGCTCAGACTCAGTGAGCTGCTCTGGATTTCTGCTTTTATTTTATGATGCCTTTCATTTCATTTTATAAATAGTTTGAGTATCAAAAAATTCAATTAAAATATTTAATGACGAAGCACAAAATTCATAAAGATTTTTCCATCTCTGGTTGTTTGTTTAATATTTTTTTATAAAAAGTTTTTAATATTAAATATTAAAATTTATTACAAACTTAAAAGCAAGACAGACGCAGGCAAAAGATAAGCATCAACTTCTTACCATGATCGGTTTTGATAATAAGATTCTGCACGCAATCGTAAACGAAACAAAAAACAAATCAAACTGTTTTTTTTTTCGGAAAAGAGATTAATCTTTAAATTCCATTATAATTATAATCGAATTAATAATTGATATATTTAAATATGATGAAATTCGAATCTTAATGATTAATATTAATATTCTCCTTGCTTTAGTTTTATCATTGAATGGAAATTTTATAAATCCATGATAAATGAGATTAAAATTTATATTAACTTTCCAATTCTTTATGTATTAAAATGTGTATCTATTTCTTTTTTTCATAACTAATATAAAATGTATTAGTTTTCATTACTCATGTCTAAATTTTACTTCGAGTTACTTTTTTAAATAATATATGTTGTTTACAAGTTCAGAATCTCTCAATCATTGATAATTGTCTAAACTATAAATATTTATAGATAACGACACTCCATTTTATTATTGAAGTGAATTTATTTAAATTAGTTTGTGTTTAAATTAAATATGAGAATTAATTTGTAATTCAACCATTGCAAAAACACTTTTTGTACATATAAATATGTGTATTTATTTATTTATTTATTTATTTTTCATGAAATTATTTTTCAAATGATACTTACAGCCTATTAGGTGGTAGAGGAAAATTATTTTTATTTAATTCTGAATAGTTATGTCTATATGATATATATATTATTAATAATTAAAAAATTCTAAACATATATTATACTATAGTTATTCCAGATATAGTTGAAAATCATAATGATAATCACATCAGACAATCAACAAAAGAATAGAGCATTAAAGTAAAATAAAAACATTTGTTTTTTCTATTGAAAAATTTTAAAATTATATATTTTAATTTTTTGTATTTATTTTCTATTGAAAATTTTTTTCGACCTCTGCAATTTTGTGAATTTACGTTCACCCTTAGGATTTTAAAAGTTTAAATTTACCCATAACATAAAATCTTATGTCCGTCCCTAATTATAATCAAACCTCAAGTTTAGAATAAAGAAATTTGCACTAACAACAAACTAACTTATAAATAATAAATGTAAATATAAAATTACTCTCATCAAAAAGAATAAAAAGAATTAAACTTGTGGATAGGGTTTAAAAAGTAGATCTACAACTAATGGATACAATTAAAGTTCAAATGTTATCGATAAATGTTGATTCAAGTGGTAAGTAATTTAATTTCGCTTAAATAAGATCTCAAGTTCGAGTTTTATCTATGTAGAAAATCCCTACTGGGGAGACTAACCCACCAAAGTTAAATGTGCGATCCAGATCGATCCAGATTAGTCAAGACGAAGCGTTGGAACCACAAAACAACAACAAAATTTTCAAATGTTAAATTGAGAGAAGAAAATTTAAAAACCAAATATATATATATATATATTGGTATAACCACCAATATCCAATCCATTGATCGACTAATTCGAATCGAGTACTGCAGAGACAAGGGTGACCCTCCCAACCCAGTTTATTCTATTTGCAATCGTTAGGATTCAAACTTCTAGCATTATTTAAGGAATTTAATGTCTCGTCTCACTAGATCAATTGGTTGTTTGTTATATATATTTTTATTTTTAATAGTAATAGTTGTTTTATTTAAGCTGAGTTTAAAGATAAAAATCGTGGTTTAAAGATAAAAATCGTGGTTTGATCCGCAAACAAGTCCAAATTATACCTAGATTTTTTTATTTGTTTGAAAGATTATTATTTGATTTATATCCGTGACTTTCTATATATTTATCAATACAATAGATGTAATTCTATAAAATAAAATAACTTGAATTAATGCTCAGCATTCTTGGGAGAGCACAAATACTACAAAAAACAATAATATCATATGACTGTTCAGTTTCTTGAAAAACAAGTAATTCAAAAAATATTAATTCTACTAAATCTTCCCCTGTCAATCTCAAACCTCTCTCTCTCTTTACGTGATTCGTTTTGTATTTTTTTTCATATGCTTTTTGGCGTATTATTACATTATCAGTACATTACATGATATTTATATATCGCGGAAACCCTAATTACGATTTTAGTTGCTACGATGAGTTTGGAATTTACTCTTGACGTAATTGTTTTAAGTTATTAGCTAGTTCAAATAATTGATGGACGTTAATTATTCTCTTAAAATATTAATATTTTTTTTTGGCAAATGGGCACTGGGCACCCAAGGGCCGAAGGCTTGTATTAAAGAAAAACTAATGTAATCTTTGTATTTTTTTTATCTAATGTGGCCCACCAACTTAGGAAGAAATCCAATCTCTCACCATAATCATTGAAACATATAATATTTTAATCATTTAATTACGTACGTTTGAATATCTTATAATTTCTAGTGTTGAATATGAAATTTCTCCAAACAACAATAATTTTTTAATTATTGAAGTAGTTTAGTTCATGCAAAATAAAAATAATATAAATATGATATTATATTATAAACCATCAAGTAGGAAAACCAATCAAGTGCGGGAGGTTAAACCTAATAAAATAATCCTTAACAAAATGGTTAAACAGATCAATCAAGATTAAACAAAAGATATCCTTCATGAAAATTTTAGAATCTACAAGCAGATCTGTATGGAAGTTGAGAAATTCAATTTGATTTTAAGTGTATAAATTTACTGTATCCCCACATGAGTGTTCAAACAAATATTTTTGCCTTTAGCCTTGTCAGCTATTATTAACTTTATAGTAAAAGACTAATTATATAGAGAAATCCTTCCAAAACCATTAATAATTAACTCGTCGCTATCAAACTTTCTGCCATACATTCATTCCAACTCTATATAAACCCCCATACCCCTAACCTTCTCAACTTCAAACCAATGTATATGGTTCACCATTTTAGCTAATCCTTTGATCATTTTTTCCCTGTAAGCCTATTGCCTGCTAGCTGCAACACCAAAATCTCGTTGTGTAAAGAACAAAGGAATTGAGGATAAGAGGGGTGAAGTTTTGTTTCTCCAATGGAAACTAGTGTTTTTATTTTACTATACGTGATTCTGTTTCTCTCTACTCTTCTTTCATACCCATTTCTAAGGAAGAAAAAGAGAGGGTTTCGTGTGGGAAGATCTAAGCTTCCAGCAGGTTCAATGGGTTGGCCATATATTGGAGAAACTCTTCAACTTTACTCTCAAGACCCAAATATATTCTTTCTTACAAAACAAAGAAGGTGCCTGTTGTTCTGACCTTCACAGGCTTCGTTGTCCATTCCCCTTTTGTCTGGTATACTGAAATTTGGTGGTGCTGCCATTGATTGTTTTCTTTGTGATGTTCAGATATGGAGAAATATTCAAAACCCATATACTTGGATGTCCTTGTGTCATGCTGACTAGCCCTGAAGCTGCAAGGTTCGTGCTGGTGACTCATTCTCATTTGTTCAAACCGACTTACCCCAAAAGCAAAGAGAAGATGATCGGCCCTTGTGCGCTCTTCTTTCACCAAGGCCAATACCACACTCGGCTAAGGAAGTTGGTTCAAAGCTCGATGTCCCCTGATGCCATCCGGAAGCTTATCCCTGATATCGAATCCATAGCCCTCTCTGCCTTGGACTCATGGGCTGCCTCTGCACAAGTTATTGACACCTTTAACGAGATGAAGAAGGTACATATAAAAGAGAAGATATTAGTAATAAGATTAGATCGCATCTTTAAACATGTTTCTACTGTGTTTAAAGGGTTTTTTTCTTGGCTGTATGATGTTGTTGTCCTATAGTGTTCCTCTCTTTTCTTACATTGGAATCCCTTTAGAATTTTATTTTTATTGTTGTCATGATTTTCTAACATGTGGACGGATTTCCTACTTTCTCTACAGTTCTCTTTCGATGTCGGCATCCTTTCCATTTTTGGTCACTTAGAAGAAGGCTACAAACAGAAGTTAGAGCAGAACTACAGGATAGTGGATAAAGGTTACAACTCTTTTCCTACCAAAATTCCTGGGAGTGCATATCACAAAGCACTCCAGGTAAGAACCATTTCGTTTCTCCTTATCATAGAAAGATATGTGTATGCATGCATGCATGTATATATGTGATCACTTGGAGGCAATTCTGACATTTTCTCTCTGAAAAGGCGAGGGAAAGGCTGAATCAGATTCTAGGTGAAATAATTTGTGAGAGAAAGGAGAAAAGGTTGGCGGAGAAGGATCTTTTGGGACATTTGTTGAACTTCAAGGATGAGAAGGGGCAAACTTTGACTGAAGATCAAATTAACGATAACATCATTGGAGTACTTTTTGCTGCACAAGACACCACAGCCAGTGTTATAACATGGATCCTCAAATTCCTCCATGATGACCCCAAGCTTCTAGAAGCTGTTAAGGTAAATCATTCTAGCATTCCAATTAAAGACTAAAAACATTTAACGTCCGGAGAATCAAATTAGTCTCAATTTATGATTCTCCAAAATCACTGCAGGCAGAGCAAAAGGCTATATACCAGTCAAACAGTGGAGGAAAGGGGCATCTAACATGGGCACAAACAAGGAACATGACTCTTGCACATAGGGTATGAATTGTTTAAAGGCATATATGTTGTTTCAGAAAAAGCAAAATTTCAAGCTTTTGAGTAATTTTCAGGTTTTAATAGAGAGCTTGAGGATGGCAAGCATCATATCTTTCACATTCAGGGAAGCAGTAGTTGACGTGGAGTACAAGGGTAAATAAATTAAAGACTTGAATATTCTTGATTTTAAGGGGGCATTAACGAATTACTTTTATTAACTGTTAATGTACAGGATACCTAATACCCAAGGGTTGGAAAGTGATGCCATTGTTCAGGAATATTCATCATAATCCAGAATACTTTTCTGATCCTCAGCACTTTGATCCATCTAGATTTGAGGTACTTGCTGTTTTCATAAAGATTATAGCAATCTTCTACTAGTTGTAATACACATACAAATAGGCATATAGGCTTACGATTTTTGTTTTTGTGGATACGGCTTCAAGCGGGCAGCTCCAAAACCCAATACCTTCATGCCATTTGGCAAGGGTGTCCATGCCTGTCCAGGCAACGAACTAGCCAAGCTGGAGGCCCTTATTTTCATCCATCATCTAGTAACAAAGTTCAGGTATAATTTCTTAGCCTATTAACAACGTCATATATCCTACATACCCTAAAAAGAATAACATTTAATTTTTTTAGTAAATATTGGCAAGTCTAACCTAATCAAGATTTTGTATTTAGTGGCAAAAGATATTGTAGTGCCAGAACAATTTGGTCAATTCCCTTTCTAATTGAGGGGGAGTGGTGATCTTTTATTTGCAGGTGGGAGGTGGTGGGCTCTAAAAGTGGGATCCAATATGGTCCATTCCCAGTACCTCAAGGAGGACTACCAGCCAGATTTTGGAAAGAATCCAGTTGTCCTTCCCAAAATATGTGCCCTTAAGTTACAAGCTTGGGAAAAAACCCATCTAGCAGAGCAGCACCCAGAAATTCTCTGCCCCTAACCAAAACCCTGTTATTTTTCATCACGGGGTTTCTAGATTCATATAAGATTTCACCTTCATTTACTATAATTATTAACTTCTTGTAATTTTTGCAGTTAGTAACTTCTTTTCTTTAAAATATGTATGTATATTATCGACTATAATAAAAAAATGTTAAAGAAAAACACAGATTACCCAACTTGCTCTCCCTTTCTTTCTTTCTTTTGTAAATATTTAATAAACTCATAACCATCGAATTCAATATCTATATTTAATTTGATATTATTTTGTCTTTGCTAATGTTATATCCCAGATCAAATCATTACCAATGTTATAAGAATTTAGTTAATCGGTTGATGTGAAATTACAAAAATAAATCAAATCATGTAGTAGACTGTAATTTTTTAAATTAAATTTTTTAAATTAATACATTAATTTTATAAAATTAAATCGAATACATTTATAAATATTATAAAATTATGGAAATTCTCATAAAACATATTTATAATTTATAAAATTAAGAAATTGCATTTTAACAATATAAAAATGGTTATATGACTAAAAGAACATAATTTTAGTAAAATATACCAGAACAAAATGAGATAAGTTCTAGGTATAGGCGGCGACGGATTTATGTAGATTATCTACTAGTTCACTCTTGAAACACTTGGTATCCTCCTGATACTCTATTCCTTCATCGTTACTATTTAATAAGTAAATATAATTTGATTTAATGTTTTACTTTTTAAAATTAATTATATTTATAACCTACGTTTTACCTAGTTTTAATTTCGGGTAGAAAATCCAACGTCAAAAGACCTACAGTTCAATGTCCTATTTTCTTTTTTATTTTCTAATTAACCTAGTTGATATACAGAATGCATTAACTTCTACCATTAATATATAGCTAGATTCATGTATTATACAACAAAGAAACGTATGCAGTCTCTTCACCTGGAACAATGCCTTAACTCCTATTGTCATAACCATTTTTTTATAAAACAATTAAATATTATTTTAAAAACGGTTATGATTTTAGTTTAGAAAATTGGTCGGTTTTGAATTGATTTGAATAAAATGGAAAAGACTTTCCATCGACCTTTGGGTTAGGTAGGTCGAATACCTAAAAACGTCTTTTAAAACAATTTTAAGGAAAAATTATTTTTAAGACAAAAAATTGGTCTATGTTCACAAAGATTCAATTTAAAAGGATTCGAGAGTTGATTATGAGTTGGGAATGATTAGTACCCCATAGCGCCCAAAATTGATACTGTGTCGGTTACACGTTGTCGTAATGGTGGAAGTTGTGAATCGAATATAAAGTTAAAATATGATCTTGCTTCGAATTAATTATTGTTAGAGAAAATTCTTTAACTCGAAAAGAAACCTCAAAATTAGGAATCATCCATCGGGAAAGCTATTTCGACTATCTCTTATCCATAAGAATATTCCCTCTTTGATAAAATGTGAATAGAATATAAATTGAATATTGACAGTTACGTAAAATAACGAAGATTTTCATTTAAAGAATAATATATTGCATTATAAACAAGATTTAATTAGTAAAATAACCGATATTTATTTCAAGTTCCCATGTCGTAAAATGTCGTGTCGGATTGCACCACTTCGACCAAGTGATGCTTTCCACGATCATTTTATGCATACATGTTCTTGAAACGATTTGAATATTTCATCCATGGATAAAATGCAATGGAAATAAATGTAATTAAAAATACAAAAATAACATGTTCACATTAAATTGAACTAAAAACATTATCTACATAATACACATAACCATAAAATATGTAAAATACATTCATACATAAATGACTAAAATAAAAATAAGTAAACATTACAAACCAAAATGAAATCATTAAAATACAAATATTTACAGGACTAAAATAAAATTAACAAAAATTAAAAGGGTTGAACAATAAATACATAAAGTTAAAGGACCAAAATAACAAATACAGAAACTTAAAGGACAAAAAAAACATAAATTTAAAAGTTCCAAAATAGTAAAAACAAACATTTAAGGGATTAAAATAGCAAAATAGATATTTAAAAGACTAAAACAGTAAAAAGAGAATCTTAAATGGTCTAAAATGGTATTAATAGAAACTAAAAGGGTCTAATAAACAAATCAGAGCCCTCATAATCAAATTAAAATAAATACAGGGACCAGAAACAAAAATAACTCATAAATAATGTTTACAAATTAAAATAAAATAAATAAGAAACATGGAGGACTAAACAATAATTAAACCTAAATACAAAAATGACTAAAATAAAATATATACAAATGTCATGGCCAAATTCGAATATGAACAAAAAATACATAATATGTAAAAATAGGACTAAAATACAAGTGTCGAAACAGTAGTACTCGAAATAAAATAAATCAAAACTTCATTAACTGGCTAAAAAGTAAGATTACAAAGGATCATGGACTTAGAGTGCTATTTACCCTTAGCATGAAAACACACTTAAGGTCATTGGCAAAACGACGTCGTTTCGCCTATATATATATATATATATATATATATATATATATATATATATATATATATATATATATATATATAATCTCTTAGGCAAAAAAATGGCCACCCACCTCATTTGTTCGGTTTCAAACCGAGAGAGGAGAGAGAGAGTCTTTAAACTCTCTCAAAATCCATCAACAAAGAAGGGAAAACCACTGTTCATCGATGATTCCCGCTGCGACGCATGATGGCCGAAGAGAGCCGAACACGCCAAATGAAACATCCCTCGCCCTTAACCCAAATATCATCCTAGTTTAGCCTAAAACCACTCATTAGCCCTAGATCTAGAGAGATTACCTCTCGGTAAACTTGGAAAATGACAACCCTTGGTGTTCCACGGCCTCCGACGAACCAACCTCCTCGGTAAGCTCTCTCTCATCTCCTCTTTCTTTTGGTTCGAATGATTTTTTCTTGCATTTTTTCTTAGTTTTTTTTCGAGTAGGTTCTTCCTCTGTATTTCCCCTCGAATATCTACTCTTCTCACCGAATCCCCCTTCTCTCTGTTCTTGATTCTCCTCCTTTTGGTGATATATCCTCTTTTTTTATCTTCTATGTCCTCTCTTTGATGGATTTGATAGTATCGGTGTAGGGTAATAATATCCTATATTTTTAGGATAAGATTTTCTTATTTTCTGATTTGGATGGGCTCTTGCTCATTGTTTGATGGATGTTTGGCAGAAACCGGTCACTGTTGGTGAAAACATCGATCAGTGGGACACTCGGTGGTGGCTCGGGAATGCTAGGTTTACGGCTCACACGTTGGGAGGAATGAACAGTGAAGTCCATGTGCCTGCTTGGTGGCTTATTATCACTGGTAGCGATGGTTGAGTTGGTACTTAGGGTTTTAAACCCTAATCCCTTGGGCAATCTAGACCGTTGAATGGGTCCAATCCAAGGGCTGAGATTTGGGCGGCTGGCAACAAAAGAGAAAAAACCCTAATTGGGTATTCAAGTGGGCCTGGGGTTGGGTCGGATCCTGGGCCGGTTCGGGTCTAGACTTCAACTGGGTTGGTCCGGGTTGGGCTCTGGTGAGCTTGTAATATGGGCTTGGATATAATTGGGTCACTGGTTTGTGGGCTTGAATTTAGGCCTGCAAAATGTAATTAAGTATGTAAATAATAATAATAATAATAATTTTTTGTAAACCCGGACAAAAACGAGTGTCTACAGCTGTCCCTCTTTGCATATTCTTGTATTAACAAGAATAGGGCAAAGACGAAAAAGACAATCAATTTTTGTCTTTTTTTTAAAATTTGATAGTGTTTGGTATTGGGGACGACATTGCTCATACGTGATGAAGAGTTCTTGGCCATATTTAGGGAGGGTGATAACATGGTTCCTACGCGATGAGGACAATGGTTATCTAGGGGTGACACGACTCTTACGTGATGAGGAGGTCTGGTCGGTGGATGACATGGTTCCTACGTGATGAGGATGGCATGCTATCTTTAGGGATGATAACACGGTTCCTACGTGATGAGGACGGCTGATTATCAGGGGTGACACGACTCCTACGTGATGAGGAGGTCTGGTAGGGGGATAACACAGTTCCTACACGATGAGGATAACAAACCATCTTTAGGGATAATGGTTTCAAGAGAAACCGACTCAAAGATGCATTAAGAGAATATGTCTCAAGAGAGACAAAATTTGTTTCAAGGAACCGACTCAAATATGGTTTTGTTTTAAGAAAAGCAGACTCAAAGATTTTGCGTTTCCAAAGAAACTGCCTCAAGGGTAGGGATGGCAACGGGTTGGGTTCGGGCCGGGGATCGGTCCCCCCATCCCCGTCCCCGTTTAAAAATCTCGTACCCGTCTCGCTTAAAAAACCGCGGAGATTTAAATGGAGATCCCCATCGGGTAATCGGGAAAAACCGCTGGGAAACGGGTATCCCCGTTTAGCATAAACAATTATTTAAACTGGTATCGGACCGAGTATATATATTTAAATTAAATATATAAATATTATATATATTTTTAATTTAATTTAAATTTATTAATATTATATATATATAATAATTATTTTTAATATTTATTGGGCCGGGTATTCGGGTAATCTCGGGCCGGGTATTCGGGAATCGGGGCGGGGATTACCAAACCCATCCCTGTCCCTATTTAAAACATTCGGTTTTTCCCCATCCATGTCCCTGTCCTCGTTTATCATCCCCGAACCTGACCCGTTTAATTCGGTTTTTGGTTTTCCCCGTCGGGTTCGGTTTTTTTGCCATCCTTACTCAAGGGAGACAAAATTTGTTTCAATGGAAACGATCTAAAGATGTTTGTTTTGTTTCAAGGGAAACATACTCAAAGATGGTAAATTTTGTTTCCAAAGAAACAAACTCAAGGATTTTTCTCAAAAGAAACTGTCTCGAGAGACAAATTTTGTTTTTAAGAAAACTGTCTCTAGCAAAACGACACTTTGTTTTGACAAAAACAACATCAAAGGATACTGATAGTCTACTTGTTCATGCTGGTGGATAAAATGCCTTCAGAAGATCTGATCGTTCGCATCAGGATGTTGAATCCCCAAAGATGCCTCAACATTCGATGTTGAATCTCCAAAGATACCCCATCATTCATCGTTTCTTGCT